AAGTTTGTTGCTAGATTGCTTTTTAGAAACTATTTTATTTGCTATTCAAAGAAACAACAAAGAAACTCATTCCATGCAAGATACGTGCGCGGAATATAAACAATACTTTATCTTAATTTTTACTTTTTATTTTGTCCTACCGTAATCGCATTGCCTTGTTTACGAAATCTCGAAAGTTTGCTCGTTTAACTGCGCCTGGCGAAATGCCGCATTGCATTAAGAAATTATTTATTAAACCGTCTCATTTGCGTCGCTATGGGACCATTTGCTAGCCCATAAATAATTTTCTCGCCAGAAAAACTCGCAATTTTCGTACTTAGTCGACCAACTTCTCGACAAAATAAACGCTGCTAATTAAAAAAAAACATATGGAATCCACCTCTGTCTTATTTATTTTAGAATAAAGGTGCAAATTCATATAATCTGGGCGTATCTTGACAAAAATAAATTTCCAGAACTTACGTTTCTTCCACTTTACAAACCTAGATATGGCAAAATGGCGAAATACATAGATCAGCCAAGCGAGATTTATTCTCGTCCATTTAATTATTCTCGCTCCGAGATGCGAACGTGCCATCGCGTAAACGAAAATCATTTCGCATAATCTAAACGGTGCGTCGCGTTACACGTCAACCATCAAAAGGGATGAACGCATCTCCTAATCCACTAAAATGGAGAGAAACTGGCGATGTTAACTCTCGATATGAATATCTAACGGCTATTTATAGTCGGTCTCCCTTAGTCCGAGTTACGACCTCGCGAATGAGTGTGCGGACTGGACCAGTAGTAATGGAAAGCCACTGATCAGCCATTACTACGACGATACTGCAGGTCATACTGCACATAGGATTATGCACTTTAGCATGGTTAATGCGTTAGGAGGCGCACGTTAAGTCGGATTAGCATGGCGAACTATTAACGATATCTGACGAAGAGCTTAACTAATTTCAAACCTTTTAAAGCTTCTATTTATTCAAAAAAGTTTTGTAACGTTTAAGAAAAAATATTAATATCACGATTATTATTTCCATCTGATCAATACGT